ATGCGATTAATCAAGAAACAAGCTGTAGAGATTGCATCGGCCCAAAACTGTTTAGGAACCTTTGTTTGAAACAATAGTGCCCGAGCTGTCTCAAGTAGATGCCTATTTTTTCTTTCAGCAACTCCATTCTGAGAAGGCGTATCAACACAAGATGACTGGTGGAGAATCCCATGTTGCCTCATATACGACTGAAATGATTCTGACATGTATTCTTTAGCATTATCACTCCTTAGTATGCGCACGGTAGTATTAAATTGAGTCTTAACTTCAGCAAAAAATGCACAAAAATGGGAAAACACTTCAGATCTATTCTTCATAAAGTATATCCACGTCATTCTAGAAAAATCATCCACAAAAGTAACAAAATATTTATGTCCAGTTTTGGAAACAACAGGACATGGTCCCCAAACATCAGAATGAACTAACTCAAAAGCTGACTCTACTCGCTTATTAACCCTTGGACTTAACGAGGTGCGATGGTGTTTAGCAAATCGACATGATTCACAATCCAATGAAGAAATATTTTGAAACTCAGGACAAAGCTTCTTCAACAAAGGTAGTGAAGGATGTCCCAATCGACAATTGTGCTTCAAATGGAGAAATAACACCTAAGCATGCTACAGACCGAGGTTCCCATTCATCAAGGATGTAGAGATCATCAGATACATGTCCTTTACCAATAACCTGATTCGTTCCAATGTCACGAAACAAACAATAATCGGGAAAGAACGAGATATAACAGTTAAGGTCTCTCGTAAGTTTACTAACAGAAATCAAATTAAAGGCCAATTTTGGGAGACTTAATACAGATGAGAGGGTAATAGATGAGGTTGGTTTAACAGTTCCAGATCCAACACTGGTACAAGTTGATCCATTCGCTACAATAACTGGGGATGGTGCTTTGTGTGGATGGAAGTTAGAAAAAGTATTAGGGTTACCTGTCATGTGATTTGTGGCGCCTGAATCAATCACCCATTTATTTGAAGAGGTAATAAGACACGCTTTCCCTGACTCGGCAAAAGTAGTAACTGAAGTAGATTTCTGATACTGAACGAATCTAGCATAATCTTCTGACGAAACCAAAATTGTTTTATCCGATGATGGCCAATGAGCAACATCAACCTTACTATTACGCTTATCTGAACTCTTCCATTCTTCTCCCTTATTATCATTCATTCTCACAATATCAACGCAAATTAACAGAGAAATCACCAAAACTCCCAATAATAAAGGTTTTAACAAGAGAATAGTCAACTTCACAAAATGGCTCAACTCAAGTAGAGAAAACCAAATAACCCAAAACAGAGTTCAGATGGTTCGAATACCCAGAAGTTCACAGAGTAACAATAAACTAAAATATGAATAGCCAAAGGCTCCAGACAGAAAAACCAATCAAGCAACAGAGAGGAAATTTGAACCAGACTACTGTCTAATCTTTGCTGCTGCTGGTTCAAGACAGACCAAACAGCAGCAGAGAAAGGAATTCAAACTAAAGTATCACCAAAAGAAAGATTGCAGAACCTGGATCTTGATGCTAAATCTTCAAAACGTGGTCCAATGATAAGAAATCCACCATAAATCAACTGGAAATCTTAAGGCAACGTCAAATCAATAAGATAGACCACCAGTGGTGAAGTCACATGAACCAGAAATATGGCAGCGGCTAATTCCGGCAACCACCAGTGGTGAGGGTCGAGAACCACCACTTCAAGTCTCACAATTCCGGTTATGCTCTGATACCATGTGCAAGGAATTGGAGAGAATAACATGTTTCTTATTCAATAGGTAAACATGCATAAATACAATAATAGTAGAAGCTAACTAAGGAAAGAAATAAAGAGAAAATCCTAAAGATATGCTATCTATCTATAGCTTTGTACAATATCAAGAAAGATATCTATATACATTCTGTAACACAAACAATTTGTACACATGCCTAACTTGTAGATAAAATATAATAGGTGAATAAACTGAAGGAAAAAGATATGTCAATAGTATGCATGACTTGCATACAGCTGGGCTAACGCCCTCACATAATTACTTTCTCAACTGATTTTCCCAAATATTTCATCTGGAGTTGATGAATGAGAATCTGAATAGCTCTACTAATACTTTGGGGTATCTGATTGAACAGATGAGAAGAAATCACTAGTGCGTCCCACATTTTGACCAGGCAAACAAGCAAAAGATCACAAAAGTTGGGGGAAAAACAACAAATAAACAGAGGAGAGGGTGAAATATAATGGGTAGAAAGCTAATGAAGAAACTACACAGTATGTTGGCAGCACTAAATAAAATCAATATATTGTAGGAAGGGCTGCAAATATACCTTGGATAGAAAACCATCATATATAATTGCTATCAGGATGATCCTTTGGAACCACTCTCTCATTCACCCAGAAAACGTGCCATTTCGACCAGTCTATTGAATCAATATATGGTGGCTCCACCAATTTCCGGCAACAAACCTTAGCAACCCAAAATGATATTTCCTAGTAGAAACGAAGAGAATTAATCAATCATTACCTGAGAGACTTGATAAGTGAACCACCGGAAACAACCACAGTAAAAACACCTCTCTCCTTATAAATTGTCTTTTTATACTTTTCCCGTGTACCGACCGAATACACCCTTAATTCTTGCTTAACTCAACAAAGGAGTACCATTTTGCAATGAGAAAATAACTGCTATGATTTTCTTCTCCCAGTTGAATTCCTATCTGCTATGTGAAGTGGGAAAAATGTGCAGTTAAGTAGCATTCATCTCTTTCAGCTTGTACTCATACTCAGGTCACTAAAGTTATAACAGAAATGTTTATTGATTCTCTTATATAAATGTGACATTGTTTATGAATAATCTTGTGTATTAAAATAGCAAGGTTTTTGAGAGATCTATAGCGATCAAAGTGTCATTCAACCTATAAATGATCATATGTCTATAGCATAGTATGAAAATAACATCTAAAACATATTTTCAATGAAATTAAACTCAGGATTATAACAGAAGCCTCACACTAATCTTTCCAAAGGAAAACTACTTGATTTTTCAAGGGTATTTCTGCAGTTATGTTGTTGGAAGGAATGTGACTAGAAATTAGATTGTAAGATATACTTAGAAACTTCAGATTTCACACAATATTCCATTGGAGGGACAACAGTGTTTCGTGAATGAAACTTGTTAATTGATTATCGACCAAGGACATAAATGCAAGCTGCCTCAGATTACAATTTTTTCTTTGGAACTCTCTGCAGTTAAGATAGGCTTGTTGGAATACTTGTGCAGGTGAAGTCCAAAGAAGACAATAATTAATTAGTACAAGGAAATGAGAAGTGCTCAATTCACTAATTGTTTCATCACATTCAAAAAACAAAATAGTGCAGCTAAACACCTTTATTTCTGATTCTTTCAAGCATTCAAGATATATCACAAATAGATAGAGTAAAATAGGTCCAAAACCACTCAAACACTTCAAGTAGTACTATACAACAACTTTATTAAAGAAACCAGGTAAACAAAAAGCATCATATTAATTTGCAGCTCAGAAAAGAACACCATGACTTCTATGTTTCCAGAAATGCGTTCTTGATTTTGTTAAGCCTCTTCACTACTTCTTTCATAGTCACTCTTGATTCCGGCATTTCCTTTGTGCAGTCTAAGCCCAATTCTATCATGGATGCTATGCACATTTCACTTTTACTAGTGATTTGTTCATCCTCAGAAAAAAGATTGGCATCCACAACGTCCATCATACTCCCTGAAAATGATTGTGTGATCCATTTCCTCAAGTCAAGATTTTCATTGCATATCTCTTCATCTGTTGGCCTTCTTTTCGCCAAAACCTCCATCAACATGATGCCGTAGCTATAAACATCACCACTAGTGGACACTATTCCCTCCGAGCCATATTCTTAGAAAAGGAATGAAGAAAAGTTACTCAATTGAAATACAACAATAATTCTGCATAAATAAA